TTGTGGTATATTCCATAAAGTGAGATTACAGAGGTGCAAAGGGTACAATATATTTTTTTAATAAGCTTTTTATACAATGTTCTCCATAGTGATCTAACCAACTTTCAATTAGAGTAAAAGTTTGGTATTGATGTAGAATCATCTTTTATAATAAGAAGGAGGTCTGAGCATGTTTAATAGCAGAACGGAAAAGGAGTTATCCAAAGAGAATAGTACACATGCAACAGAGAAAGCAAAAAGGAATGATCCTTAGGATCCCAGGTAAAGGTTACTTTGAAGAGGAGAGGGCATGGCTGTTTCTGCCCCTGACTTTTAGGGTGAAGTCCAGGAGAGATTACTGGGGTTCCTCCTAAGAAAAGACCTTTCTTTCTTTAGTAAAATAGAGCCAAAACCACTTGCTGAGGTTGGGGAGGGAGAGGGTTAGTGGGGAATTGAGTTCTTGAAGGTCTGAATTACCCACAGTCAGAAATAAGTCTGGGCATATAAGAGATGAATAAAGGTCTTGTTGTGAGTGCTGCATTGGACCCATGAATTCATAATGGGCTAAGTCTTTAAAATCCTAGGCCTAGAGAAGCAGCAGTGAGGAGGAGCGGGCACCAGACTGAGGGTTGCTTGGCATGTTCATGGTAAGATTTCTGAGGAGGCAAAACTTAAGATGCAGTGAAGCAGCTGGCCCTAAGGCCAGAGGTGGAGGAAGGGCCAAAAGTCGAAGACAGGCGCTGGTTGTCTGCCAGAATGAGGAGGCAGAGTAATTATAGGGGCCAGTGGGAACAGAAAGCAGGTTTCAAATATGAGGGATGAGTAGTAAGGAGGCTACTGACAAAGGAAGATTTTCATCTTAAAATTTGGCAGCGGCTTCTTTTACTTTTGTTCATCTTTGTATAATGTTTACATTTCTAACACAGACATGTGTAACCACTGACATTTCTTAAACGAATATTTGAAATCTCAGAAGTCGAGCTGTGCCTTCCGGGTGTGGCTAGATGGCTGAGATGGATGAAGGAGAAATGAAGGTGGAGCTAGATCATGGAGCCCACCTTGAAGAGGTGCTGGGCCTGTGAGGAGCCTCCACATTTCAGCCAGTGGCGCCTGTGGTCTCAGCTTGTCACAACAGAGCGGCACCCAGCCAGCAGCCCTCCTCCACCTATACTCCAGTACTGTTCAAAATCCAAGGAGGCCCATCTTCCCCAGGCTTGACAGTCATCGCTTACATGTACTGTTGCGTGAGTCTGATGGTTTCCAACTCTCTGAGCAGATGCTTACTGAGCCATGCCTCTCTGGTCTCTGTGAGTGAAGGTTCTTCCTCCAGACAGATAGCACCCCTTGCTAGGAATGCAGTTTTGCGAGTGGAGCTTGGGTTCTCCTCATTTTATGACGGTTCACCTCACTCATCTCTTCCACTAGGTGCTCTGTGCATTGTACAAACTGTACAACGGTGTATAACAGCCCTGTTTCTCTCTTGCCTGTTAAGAAACTTGGCCTAAGGTCCTTTCCTCCTCTGACCCCTCTCCTTCTCATGTCCTCTTAGATCATCCGCTTTGACCCTGACCCTGTTTAACACCCTGGGTTGTGGCCTTTATTCCACCTACCAGATTCACATTACTTTCATGCTGCACAACTAATGGCGTTTACACAGCTCACCATGCAAAGCAGCCACAGGGGCTGATAGCAGGGGACTTAACAAGATGTGTGAGTCAGGTACGGGAATCAGCATGTGGAAACGGAAAAGCTAGGGCTGCTTTCTTCCAGGGCCTTACACTGAGTCTAAACCTTGCCTGGACATTTTGTAAGTCCCGTTTCATGAAAGCCAGGACCTAAGCAGAAGTGTGGCTTCCTGCCAGTCCCTACCAGGAAGGAACAAACAGCTTACAGTACAGGCCTCAAGCCAGGTGGGGTAGGAGCAAGAGTGCATTGTGTTGCCTGTGGAATTCAATGAACTCTCTGTAAACATAGCCTCCTGCCACTGTTCTTTTCCCTTTTCCCCTAGTCAGTCTACCTGAGAGTCATTAGCCCTTGGCCTATAATTAGGTAAAATGATTATTTTACTACTGTTTATCCATTTCACTAGATAACTAGCTTCAGGAGGCAGGGGCCATATGAGACTTAGCAGTAACTAGGGCTCAACAAATAACTGCTGAATAAATAGATTTCTAAGGTATATTTGTTGCTGTCAGTTCTTAATTCTATGAAATAGTTTTTAAGCGTGAGTAGATAGTGACTGCTATAACTAAGAAAAAAGCCCTCACATTTGTCCCTAATGGATAAGAGTACTAGCAAAAACAATGTTTTGACTTCTCAATCTCCAGATTGGGAGTACCATTGGAAAGTAAGAAGGCCCAAACCAGCTCCTGTCAGGGGGAAATGGGAAGACACGAGAGGAAGATACCACTGCCGCTACCACTGTCCTGTGCAATAAGGCCTCACTTGGGCAGAATTAGCCTTCCAGTAAGACAGAGACAGACATAGACATTCAGAGACTGAACCCACCACTTAATCTGTGCTTGCGTAAAGTAAAAATCAAACATGGGCCTTTCCTAAGGGTGGATTTCCTACTCTCCTAGGTGTGGGTGACTAGATCCTGACCCAGGAGCCTGCTGGGTTCCAAGCTCAGGCTCCAGAGCTCCTCTTCTCCTGGCCGCACCCCCAGCCCTGCCTGCCAGCTATCCCTGAGTACTGTTCTGCTTCCCCTGCAGCTTCTCAGACATACAAGCCTCCGATTGGACTTCTCGTGGCCTGGAAGTCTTGATTTTTCAGGACCTGGGAAGGCACTGCTGTGGCCCAGGGCTGTCCCAGGATGTGTCAGGAGGTCATAACACGAGAGGACTCATTCCTCTGAGGCCCTCTTAAAGGTTATTGGGAACTCAGTGATAACGCAGGCTTTGTCAAGAGTACTTAGGAAGATCTCATTTGTACCTTTATCTCTAAAATGCACCATTTGAACTCAGATGGTTCTGCCAGCATCTGGCTGTTCTGTGGAAGTTATGTTGCTTGCCACCTAAAGCAGACGACTTCCTCTTTGGGAGGGACTAGGAAGGAATTCGCTATTTGTTTTAAAGCTCCCAGAGCTGTGAGCTAAAACATCTTCACTTACACTTTCCTTTCAGCTTGGTTTTCTAGGATCGACAGCTCCCTCTAATTCCAAAGAGGCCACTTGTCAGCTTCATTAAGAAGGTTTCCAAGATAGCTATTGAAACCTGGAGGCAAGCAAAGAGAATCAACTGAGAAGCCTTTGAGGGCAGGTGTCCCTCGGTAGCAGCTGCCCCTCACCCCCGTCCCTTCACCTTGTTGGGGATTTGGAGTTTGGCAAGACCTTCCTCAGGTGACTGCCAAGTCCACAGTTATTCTTCTGAAGAACACTTGAAAATTTTTGCATCACTTGTCTCATCTTCACCCTAATAATGTTTGGGTCCATGCATTAGCTTTTCCATGAATTTAAATATATTTATATATTATTCTCAAAATTGTTACAACCTTGCCCATATTTTCGGAGAAACTTCTAAGAGTGATATGTGTTTAATGCCTTTAGTGTATAGTAATAATCAAAAACCCCTTCTGGATGACAAATGTAATTCAAAATTGCTTTTAGAGTGAAATATTTATTAATTAAAACATTGCAGAAATGTACAATGCAAAATTAGAAGTCCTCCATAACCTTGTCCCCCAAAGAGAATCACTGCCACTATTTTGTTGAATGTTCCAACTTTTTTCTATGCACAAATTAACATTTATTTTGTAAAAACTTGGAATTTAACTATTTTTCATTTGTAGAAAAATTGGAAAAGATAGTGAGAGAATTAGAACTACTTGTAATTCTACCGTGCAGACAGCAGTGGCCTCAGGAGGTGGCTTGGGTGGGCTTTAGCACTGCCCTCTCCCTGAAAGCTGCCACAAGGAAACATATGCTCCAAATACAAATGTGTGCTTGTTCTGCATAGGCATCATCAAGACTTTCTTCTGTCTCCTTCTTCCCTCCAGATTACCAACCCCAAACCCCTCCATACAGAAAGCTTGTTGCCACCACTGCTTTTTACAGTGGTGGACATACTACTCCATTTTATTCCAGTCACACATACATCTTTTAACCAAGAATCATATTCATTTATAGTTTTTCCAGTCATCATATCAAGTTCCAGTGCAAATTACATGTAGAACGCACTTCGAATTGTCCCGGGTAACATTGGTTTTGATTTTGCCCCCAGTAGCACTGTTTCCAAGACGTGTCAGGGAACTGTTTTGAACTCACCCCTGGGATATGCTTTCACTGTGCCAGTGGAGAAGCTGAAACATAGGAGCAATGACTTGTTCAAGATCCAAATGAAACTCTGCCTTAGTTAGCCTTACCCACAGGTGTCTAAGTCCCCAAGATCATTGGCTGAACTGTCTGAGTTTACTGCAGCATTCGGGAAGGAGTAGAAGGTACACGACTAGGTCTTGAATTCTTCCTTCTTCTTTAGCCTCAGTATCAGTTGCTTAGTACCATTTAGACAGATGGTGCTTCGGCCTTGAGAGAGATTGTTAAGACATGTGCTGTTGAAACTCTTCTCTTTTGGGAAGGGATGTTGGCCTTTCCTCAAGTCAGGCAGAATCCCACCTGGGCCATCATCCCAGCTCCTGAGATAATTCACAATATTCTCCTTCCACATTCTATTCTGTACATCTCATTTCTCCATGTGCAAACACTTAGCCAGAGAGCATTCTGAGTGAGTGAGGCTATTCCTATAGCAGTAATATGGCAGAAGCAGGCCCTGGAGACCCTCCCCACTTGCTCAGGTGTGGCCCAGACCAGTGCTATACCATACAGCCACAGCCACAAGGCAACCACCATAACTCAGAGCAACCCCTGCAGCATGAGAGAGCAGCCTAGGAAGTCCCAGTGAGCGAGGCACCATCAGCCGGGTGTTCCTTTCTTACAGCTGCCAAACAAATTACCTTGAAACTTCTAATCCCCCAGAACTGGTAAATATCCCCTTATATGACAAAGAATAGGCATTGCCTTATATGGCAAGAAGTGTTAATTAAGTTAAGGATTTTGAAAGGAGAGGTTTATCCTGGATTATCTGGGTGGACCCTAAATGCATCTTTATAAGCGGGAGGATAGAGGAGTTTTGAGATAGAAAAGACAGTGTGGCCACAGAAGCAGAGACGGGAGTGGTGTGGCCACAGCCTGAAGTCACCAGAAGCTAGCAGAGAGGCAGGGAGCAGATTCCCCCTAGAGCCTTCAGAGGGAGGGCAGCCCTCCTGATACTGTGACACTGGTCTCTGGCCTCCAGACCAGTGAGAGGAGGAACTGCTGTTGTTTTCAGCCACCCAGTTTGTGGTCATTTGTCACAGCAGGCACAGGAAACTAATCCAGTATGCCAAAATCAAGGTGTTGGCAAGGCAGCGTTTCTTCTGGACACTCCAGGAGAAAATCCGTGTTCTTGCCTCGTCTATCCTCTAGAGGTTGCCCATACTAGCTGGCTCCTGGCACTGCATCACTCTGCTTCCCTCATCACTGTTCTCTGACTGACGCTTCTGCTTCCCCTCGGAAGGACTCTTGTGATTATATTGGGCCCACTCAGATAAACCAGGATAATCACATCTGCAAAATTCCTTTTGCCATTTAAGATAACATATTTACACGTTCCAGGGATTAGAACATGGACATTTTTGAGAACCTACCATAGTCTATAAGCCTAAATGATATGGGTAGGAATGGTGGATCTGTTCCCTACATCTCAGAATGTTCAAATTAGATGCTACTTCCTGAATCTTGAGAAAAGCAGTATTAAAGGAAACACTCCTTTATACAGAAGTGGTATCCATGGAATGTATTACCCTTCACAGTTCTTTCAGGCAGAAAATGTGGAAGGGCCTACGTCGGCAGTGGCAGAAAGATGGGGGTATGAATGTGAGCGAGGCAAGATTAGGTTCTCCCTGTAAGTTTTTGAGGTGAGGGTGTGGGGGAGGGTATTCTACAGCACTCATCTTTGGTGCTTCTCAGGCAGACTAAGTTGGATGGGGCTTTGGTTTGGGCCAGTAAGGGCATTTTGTGCAGCCTTCAATCATAGCGCTGGTGCATATTGGCCGCTGGAGAAGATCCAGAGGATGAATCACAGCAGTAGACCTAATGTGGGATTAGAGGTAATGGAGCATGCTCGTTTTAATGGAGAATGATAGGGCTGTGGGAGATGCTACGGAAGGTGGAAGTGGCGCATGTGGAGTGTTGGTTGGAGTGAGAGTGAGAAGCTGAAAAGCCACTGTTTGAAACAGTTTCCATCTAGAGGTAAGAACTCAGGAGGGAGCACCCCAGTAATAGCTGCCCTTGAGGTGAGATGGGATTACTTGAAGCAGTTTGGTTCCAGTCTCATCAAAAGCCGAGTTCCCTTTCTGCTCCTGCCTGTCTCTCTAGCTCTGGAAAAGATGATTTCTTCCTCAGAAGTAAATAAAATTTCTTCCTTGTGCATCAGTGTAGTGTGGGAATAAAAAAAAATAAAAAAATTTCCTTCTTGAAGAGGATGTAAAAGCATTAATTATTAATGTTTATTTTCATATTTACAGATGGAAAGACATGCTGACTTCAAAGAGGTAGAGTTGGGACTGAGGAAGAGAATTAATTCTCAGCATTAAAATTATCCACTAGAAAATTTGTGTACTTGTTTTGAAAAAGTTTTGCTGAGTGTGGTGGCCCGTGCCTATAATCCCAGCACTTTGGGAGGCTAATGGGGTGGATTGCCTAAGGTCAGGAGTTCAAGATCAGCCTGGCCAACATAGTGAAACCCTGTCTCTACTAAAAATACAAAATATTAGCTGGGCATGGTGGCAGGTACCTGTAATCCCAGCTACTAGGGCAGCTGAGGCAGGACAATTGCTTGAACCCAGGAGGTGGAGGTTGCATTGAGCTGAGAACACGCCATAGCACTCCAGTCTGGGCAACAAGAGTGAAACTCCATCTCAAAAATAAAAGTTTCTAGTGGTTGATTATAAAGTTGGAGAATTTCAAAAGAGATCTGGCAATCAATAAAGGGATCAGAGAAGAATCTATTAGGACAGAAATGTTTGTGTTCCTAACCACCCAGACTCATTTCTAGGACAAGGCATTAGACAAAGGTGTCAGCAAGCAGCCACCTCCTACATGCTTGTGAAACACTATGAGAAATTATGGTACATGACTCGGAAACTTGCCAAATAATTAATGGCTTAATTCTGCTTCAGCTCTTCTTTTCATAACACAAAGGTCTAAGACTCCAATTAATGAATTTCACTTTAAAAAGAAGTCTGTTGAATACTTGCTCTAGTTTAGAGCATGAAGTTCAAAGTAGGGGACACAAAAAGAACCCATTCTCCTGGGGCCACCTCTCTAGACAACGCTAGCTGCTAAGCAGGAGGGCCTGCTGGAGGCCAGGTTCTAATGCCAGAACCATTGCTACATGGCATGTCCCTTGGCCCACTGTGAGCAGCCACAGCAGTGTGATACCAGTGTCTTCATGGGACCAGCATCCTGACCTGGTGGGGGGGGCTCCTCCCTCCCAGTTTTTAAATACAAGGACATTCCAGCATCTCAGCATTCTGTGATGGTGTGAGGTAATATATCTGTCCTAGTCTCTAGCTCATTTTTTTTTTCAATCTGCATCTCAGAGCATCAAGAAGAACACTGCGTACATTCAGCGGCTTTTAAAAATGTTGGCAGAAGAAACCAATTAGCTAAGTGGTCGTTAATAGCTGCAACCCATCATTGAAATTTTTTCAGCATATTTCTTTATATTTGTTCCCCAAGTTGCTTTATCTCATCACAACCTTTTGGAATCCAACCAGAAAGAAGACTGAAGTTTCTGGAGATAAGGGAAAACTGCAATGTAAAAATCATGCTTTGCCCTGACTCAGCTTAATAATCAGGCCACTGACTGATTAACAGTGACAAGAGCAGTGCTGGTAAATGGGGAAATTGTGTGTGTTCTGTAGAGCAGAGTTTCTCAAGTGTAGTCCTGCTGCTGACTCACCAGGAAAGCTGGTGAAAAATGCAGACTCCAAAGCCCCAGCCCACAACTGTCCCTCTCTGAGGGTGGGCCTAGGAATCTGCACTAGTAATAGACCAGTCACCTATATATACCCTAAATTTTGGGAACCTTTTCACTAGGAGGGGTTTCCTCCTTGAAGTATGTGGAGTTGATCTTGGTTTGAAAACTTTCCCCAAAGGCAAAAGTGACCCCTGGCACTCCTTGGCGAAAAAACTATCCTGCTTCTCTCTTTGTATCCCCTTGGACCTAGAGAAAAGTTGTGCTCCAGCTCAGTAGCTCCGCGTGTGGTGAAGTCCCAGTTTATTCTTCATCCTTGCTGCCTAACAGGTAGACAGCATCACCACCTCAGCTTTTTCATCATAGCCCTGTAATTCCAGCACCAATGTGTCCCACATTGATCAAGAAGCCAAGCCTTGGGATGCCACCATTTCGCCTTTCACTGTGTGATGGCATTCTGAAGTTTTTCTTGGCACTCTAAGAAGAAAAAGCTGTGTAGAATTTCTGATGGTTGTTTTGCAGAACATCAAGAAATACCCACTAGGCTCCAAAGCCCCAGGCAGTCCCTGTTTAATGTGGTCAAGGAAAGAAATGACTCGTCTCTGCATGAACTGGGCACTGTGCAGGATGCTTTTCATACACTGCCTCAATTAATAAGTGATCTGGAGTCCATGCAATGCAAGGGAAAGGACAATGACAGCAGCAACTGAATGAAAGGCAGGTTTGAATTCTGCTCTCACCTGCGGTATGACTCATCATGGTAGGAAAGTCAGCTCCCCAGTCTATGTATCCTTCTGTAAAATGAGGTTATTGCTGTTCCCATCGCCCAATCATGAGGCCAGAGTTGGTAATACTTTGAACTTCCCAGATGAAAGGTGATATGAAACTACAAAGTAAAGAGTTGGTGTAGAGGAGGGTGCTACAAAACTAAAAATGAGATGCCTAAGTGACAGCAAAATGTAAGGATGTCAGGATGCTCCACTCTGCTGCCGGGAGACTCTCCAGACCTTCATTTGCCTTGTTTGTCTTAGGAAGGATGTTGTGAATACTCACTATCATGTAAGGAGGGGCAGCCTAGTATGGTGAAGAGCAAACACTTTGGGGTTACTGACCTACTGACTCAGAATCTTGAGTAAGGAAATGGAAAGCTGCAGTTTTAAGAAATTTCCAGCCGGGCGCGGTGGCTCAAGCCTGTAATCCCAGCACTTTGGGAGGCGGAGGCGGGTGGATCACGAGGTCAAGAGATCGAGACCATCCTGGTCAACACGGTGAAACCCCGTCTCTACTAAAAATACAAAAAAAAAAATTAGCTGGGCATGGTGGCACGTGCCTGTAATCCAATCCCAGCTACTCAGGAGGCTGAGGCAGGAGAATTGCCTGAAC